TGTACTGGGTCGAGTACTCGTAGGACTATTAGGCCTGTGTTTCCCCGAGGACACAGGGCTAAGAGAGTCCCTTCTTGGGGTGGTGGCAGCTTACGTTACCCCCAGGCTAGCGAGTGTGCTCCAGGAAGGGGGTCAGCCAGACGCGAGGCACCCCTAGGGAGGCACTCGGAGCCTGGAAGGTGGGCGGGCGCAGGGAGGTGGGTGGCTCAATGCAGGAGCACCCCCTACTGGCCTGCCACAGGTGTGACATAATGACAGGTGGTTCAAAGTGATAGGGCATTAGCATCCTACAAGTCTGGTGCATGGAGTCTTCTTGATGTTGCTGAGCCTCATTGTTCTTCCTATACCTGCCCACCACCGCTGGTAGCTCTGTGGTTAGGGGCCGTACATGGCATCTCACAGGTTCTATAGACTTGATCAGCTTGGCAGGTTTCTTCGCTTTTATTTATTAAATTTGTCCTGCTGTTGTCCTACTCAACCCATCTGCCTTGGAGTAAAGATTTCACAGATTTCAAAGCACTGAATAGTTCTTGGGTGAGGCTGAGGAAGCCAGTACCTCCTATGGGAGGAAGGTCCTGGTGCTAAGGGTCTGGCCTGGGACTTGGGAGAGCTGGGTAGGTTTGTGGCACTGCCACAGACTCCCTTTGTGACCTGGGACAAGGTCTTTGGTCTCCACTTCGCTGTACACCAGTGTGCCCCCTCCACAGTTTCTCTTCACTGAGCTGCACTGCAGGGTGGCCAGGGGAGAGGGCTTGCGGTGGGAGCATTGAGGTTGGGTTTGACTCTGCTCTGACTTCAGAGGGAACAGTTAGGCAAGCACTTAGGGCTTTTGAAAACCCTGCCCTAAATTCCTCTGGAGGAAAGCAATTTCCAGCACAGACCCCAGTGCCACAGCTGTTCTCCTCAGTGCAGGAAACCTGGGGCTGAGTGGGCCCTGGAGATCAAATGTACCTTTCTCCTCAGGTGCTCTGTCCAGGGCTGGGGTGAGGCATACTGAAAGTCTTGCTTGTGGGAAGCAGCATCCATTCCCTAGGCCTGTTACTCCAGCCGCATCTTTGACATGGTGTTAGTGTCCATGAGTGCTCAGACATCAGACTTTCTTTGTGTTGGGGACCAGGGAGGCCACGTTTTCTGTGTGTTTAAACCAGAGCTGTTCAGTGTGTGAGTGGGACTTGCCTGCCTTGAGAAACATTGGTTGATTCTATGTGATGGTGATGGTCACAGTAACATGCTAGATGAGGAAGCCATGAACATGAAATGCTATAGCTGGGTCCTGGAGACACAGGCCTTGCATTTCAAAGCCTTGTGGGCACTGTGAGTGAGTGAAATGAGCTGGTTTCTGGTGCCTTGGTTCACTGGTCCTTGTTACAGGTGTTAGCTCTGTGGTGAGACTACCTGTCACCCCTTCTGCCTTGTGGCCCAATCCCAGTCCTGTTGGCACTATTGGGAGTGATGCCAGGCTGTAGACTGGTTGAATGAACATTCTGTCTTCTGGCTATCTCTCTGGAAATGCTCTTCTGTAGGTACAGCGCTGAGCACAGTGGGGGCTGGGGCATATGAACGGTGGCTGTCTTGGGTTGGAATCCCTCAGGGCTGGATGGGGAATGGCTGGTGCTGGGGGTTGTCTGTGGGTAGGATCTGACTGCACTGGTTCTTCCAGCCCCACTGTGGATGGGGATGTGGCATGTCCCTCAGCATGAACCATCTCCTTTCTCCCTTGGCAGTATCTCTGCATACATCGCAGAAGAGAAGCTCTCAAATGTGCTGCCGCCAATTCACCTGGATGCATCTCAGAGCTGGGAGGCATGGGGCGTGAGACCTGGCTCAATGGATATCATCGTCAACATCAATATGATCCACATCACGCCAGTGATTTGCACTGAGGTGAGAGGCTGTCCCAGCCCTAACCCCTCACCCGGGGCTGTGGAAACTCCCTGGCCACAGGCTGAGCCCCTTGGAGCTGGGCACATACCCCACTTCCCTGGTCTTCTGCAGGCAGTCTGGTAACCCAGACTACACAAATCAGTGGTGCCATGTAGTGGGTGTAGGTGCATAGATCCCCTGAATATAGACCTCCTACAGTTGATCCCTGTTAGTAGCAACAGGTTGGTGCTGTGTTGCTGTTGTGGGGATTGTCATTAAAACAAAGTAGTGAAAAGATGCTCGCAAGCAGCTGTTGCTCTTAACAGTTGTTATGGCAATGGGTGCTGAGTGTGTTGACTCTCCTGTGGCACTCTTCATTCTTTGATCATGAAGCACTTCCCAGATGTTAATGAGTGCAGTCTGACATGCTCCTTTGGGACACATCTGTATTGCTATTCCCTTTGGAGAGATGGGAGAACTGAGGCAGGTGACATCTGAAGTGGCCTGCTTAAGGTCCTGACTCCCCATCCCATAGTTGAGCTCTAAATCCATCCTTGGCTGGGGGTGGTATTTGGGCTCTCTTCCCTATTGAATAAGTTTCTTGCAGTCTCCCAGGGGTGTGTGCGGGATCCCAGTGTAGACCAGGATGACTTGAAGTTGGACTGATTCTAAGTCCCCCTTACCTTGCTGATGCTGAAATCCTCTTTCCCCCGCCCCAGCACCCCCCCCCAATAGTTTGTATGCTTTTATATGGCTACAGATGGGATTTTATGGGGTGCATGATGCATGTCAGAAATGTGGCTGGAAATCCTCTTGTCCTCCAAGCAGGGCATGAAGCCTTGCTGTTCTGACCATGCCGGGAATACCTCAGCTGGACTGGCTCATTCAGCCCCCAGAGATGAGGGAAAGGGTGGGGAATGAAAGGAACATCAATAACCATGGAGACCCGGAAACAGGCTTGGAAGGGTCCTGGCTATGAGGAATGTCTCGTAGGCCCAAGTCCCTTGTCCCTGGCTCTGTGCCATGTATTGTGCCTGTCTGTTTTCTCAGGGCTTGTTCAAAGGAGCAGGGAAGGTGCTGAAGCCCCAGGGTGTGCTGTTCACCTATGGGGTAAGTGATTGCTCCCAGGCTGGGCACAGCTTACTGGACTGGGTGCCCTCAGCCTGCTATCAGGCTGGGGCTGCATTGCTTTGTGTAGTTGTGGCTACCCCGTCATTGAGACCCAGGGAGGGAGGGGGAGGTTATCCTGAGGTAGTGAGGAGTGGAGTGGCCCTGGTGGTCGTGAGGGGTGAGTGGTCCCTTTCACTGGAGCTCCCTGCTAGTTGAGAGCACGGCTGCTAATGCTGCGTCTCTGCCCCAGGGAACCAGGGTTTGGAACCACAATGGGCGGCACTGGAAGCCAGAGCATATGGCATCGCTGGAGACAGCAGATTCTGGGCTTGCTCTTGGATGTGGCACCTGGTGGCAAAAGCGTGTTACATCCCTGAAGATTGCTCATGATATGCTGCTGGGGGGAAGGGAGATTCTTTGCTCTACTCGCACCATGAGTGGTGGTCTGGCTGGCTCTGAGGGTCACATTGCTGAGAGAGCTCAGCACAATGGTGCCAAGTCCTTTGACAGCCTGGCCCTCATCATGAGTACTGAGCTTCATATATTGCCCCTGGGTCCTTTCCAACCTGCCTGCTGCCCTCACACACAAGGCCTTTTACTCTGCATATGGGATGGCCCTGTGAGGGACTACTAGGAGCCTACATACTGGGGACATGCTTTCCCCCCTGCTGTGTTTGATGCTTTTCAGTTCACTAATATCTCCTGTCCACTGCCCTTTTGAGTACTCTTACGCCCTGAAGAACTTTGGCCTTGCAGATCTGATATCGGACAAGTTATCAGCACGCCTCTGGTACAAACAGTGAAACTCTGGCCTGGAGATATGAGGACTTGAGGTCCATGATTTGGCCGGCCGAGGGTTTAACTCCAAGTGTAGCCTTACTCCCTGGGGGAGGGACATCCTGCCCCAAACTCTTTACATACACATTCAGAGCTTAGCCCCACCATTCCCAGCTTGGCCTGAGCAGTGGGTAATTGGTGAATCTGGTTCTGACTGGTGACTTTGCTGGATGTCTCATTAGTCCTGGGTGGAAGGGGTTGCCTGGTCTGAGGAGGGAGAAGGCCAAGGGGTGGGAAGTCCTCTCTCAGGCTCCTCCTCAGGCAGCATCTGCCCAAAAAGATCTAAGGACTCCATAGTTTAGGATTGCATGGTCTCAAGACGGGTTCTGCCCATCTACTAGGGTCTGTGAGGAAGAGAGCATTGACCTATTTTATCTTTATTCTCTGACTTCTTCCCTCCTGGTGTTTGGGGGTGTGGGCTTACATCTGATCACACCCAGTCTGTGGCTTGCAGGTGCTTGAGGTGCCCGCAATGAGTCCAGTTTCTAATGAGTCCCTTCTTTGTGTCCCTCAGCCCTATGCCATCAATGGGCAGATCAGCCCACAGAGCAACGTGGACTTCGATCATGCTCTGAGGCAGAGGTAGGGGGGCTGGGGCTGGGGTGGGAACAAGAGGCAAACAGTCAGACCTGGCAGCTCCCACTATGGAATGAGAGGAGGTGTTTGCTGGTGCCGAATTGGGGCCATCCCAGTGGGTGTCTGCAAGGATCTAGGCCCCTGTTGTCTGGGCTGAGGGGAGAGAGAGGGCCCCAGCACAGTGAAGGCACTACACTTCTCCCAGAGCATGTCCATGCCACTTGTCTTGAATGTGGTAGCGCTCCAGGTGAAAACCACTGTTGTTGCTGCCTCAGCTTATTTGATGCTTCTTAACCAGGTACTGCTGCCTCCAGGTGAAACTGCCGCATGCACTTCCTGCTGCATTAGAGCTCTTGTGATTGAACTGACTAGCACCAAAAATGAAAGGAACCTGGGGGTAATAATGGACCACAGTATGAATATGAGCCGGCAGTGCAATGTTATGTGCCCTGCAGGCTACAGCATTCTGGCATGCATCAATCGCTGCATCTCCAGCAAAAGCAAGGAGGTTATTTTTCTGCTTTACTCAGCACTGGTGAGACTGCAGCTGGAGTCCAGTTCTGAGCACCGCACTTTAACAAGGACATGGACAAGCTTGAGAGAGTCCAAAGAAGAGCCACCCATATGATCACAGAAAGGCTGAGGGAACTGGGACTCTTCAGCCTGAGGAAAAGAAGGTTGAGAGGGGACCTGGTATCAGCTTACCGCTGCACTAGGGGAGTACGTCAAGGGCTCAGTGAGCAACTGTTCACCAGGGCACCTGAGGGGAAAACCAGGAGTAATGACCACAAATTCCTGGAAGATCAATTTAGGCTCAACATTAGGAAAAACTTGACAGTCAGGGTGTCCAGACTGTGGAATAAGTTTTCTCCAGAGGTGGTGCAATCACCTACCCTGGAAATCTTCAAGAGGAGACTGGACAGTCACTTTGCTGGAGTCACCTGACCCCCAGTTGTTTTTCCTGCTTGATCTTCCAAGGTCCCTTCTGGCCTTACAACCTACAAATCGGCATAAAGCAGGCAGGAGCTGCCTCTTGCTTTGCAGCTTTTCCTCTGCGCTCCTCCCAGAAACAGGCATGTGGGTGGAACTGCCCTAGGTGCCTCTGTTTCTGGAAGGAGAATGGCAGGGGCTGGAGCAGGAAGGGCCTGAGGCAGCTCCTGGCTGCTTTAGGCTGGTCACAGAACTTTAATGTAGCAGGAGCGTGTGCGTGGGACAGTTTTACCTGGTTGCTGAAGCCACACCACCTCCTGCTATGTCACAACATCCCTGAGGGGGTTTTGTGGCACCCTGGTTGAGAACCACTTATCTAGGGACAGCCAGCTCCATAGGAGCCCTAGATTTATGGGGCAGTGTTCTGCAGGTCCCCTGTCATGCATCTGAAGTGACACCTGCTGGCTTTGAGGCATCCTCATGGCCACTTGTCCCCTGAATTCAGGGATGAGTCACATCTTGCCATAGTGCATTACCCATGGTTCCCCTTGCCCAACCACCACCCAGGCGCCCCAGCCTTGAGAGCCCCCAGGCAGGAGCTCCTGAGGGGAGCTGCAGATTCTTTGGAGAAACACTGTGGGGGAGAGGCTGTTCCTGGAGCCAGGAGAGCCAGCCCTCAGCTTCCTGGAAAATCCCCTGTGGTGAGAGGCTGGATTGAACCACTTCCTTGCCAAGGCAGGAATGACATATCTGGTTTCTTTCCCTGGCAGGAACCCGGCCTGGGGTCTTCGGGACACAACTTGGCTGCAACAGTTGGCTGAGGCCAATGGGATGTGCCTGGAGACAATGGTACATGCTCTGCATTGGATTCCCTCCCTGCCCTAGGCCCACCCACAGTCTGGGGTCTCTCAGGGAGGTGGTGACCTCACCTCTTCACTGAGTGCATGGGTGTCTCCTTGCCAGAGCTCGTCCTGGGCTGGGGTTAGACCCTGGGATGAGGTATAGTAGGGCGTGCAGTAGGGAGGGGTGTGGAGGCTCTAAGGCAGTTCCCAGCCCCTCCAGGTCAATGGGATGGCATGTAGAGATGCCTGCTCTGCTCATCACCACCACCACCACCCCCGGGCAACGTGCCTCTCAGTGCCCTGCTCTACAACTCGGTCCCTGCCTCTGGGGAAAGCATCACTCTCTCTCCCCAGCAGGAGTCTGAGCCTGTCCTCTTTCTGGTACCCCTATGGGTAAATGGAGAAGAGCTTCCTCTTCTCTGCTCTCATGACATTTTTAGAGGCCTAAAATTTGGTGGTTGTGGGAGAGGCAGGGCTAGAGTTAATACAAGCTCCCTGCAACACAACCTGAGCTGAAGCCGTGGGGAACTCCCTTTCTCCCCTTCCCTCCAACCAGAGCTGCTGGCTCCAAACCATCCAAGCCACAACGGTGCTTGCAGCTCTGGGCCTGGCTGGGACACCAGCTCTCTCAGTAGCTCCTCTCAGTGCAGCTGCAGTCCTCTGACCCTGGCTTTGTGCTTCTAGGTGGACATGCCAGTGAACAACAAGTGTCTTATCTTCCGCAAGCAGTGACCCCCTGTCCCAGGCTCTGCTCCAAAACTGCCTTCTGCTTACCTGGAATCAACTGCGTGTCAGTGTCTGTGATGCTCTGTGTGGCTTGTTGTGATGTCCCCAGGGTGCTGGGAGAGTTTCTGTAGGGGCAACCCCCAGCTGAAAACTTGGCAGCAGGACTGCTGTGTGGGGAGTATGGGCATTACTGACCTCCTGCTATCTGTTCTGGAAGCCCTTTGGGGATGGGACCATTCAGGCAGGTTCTCTATTGCATGCTTGCCTGCTTCCCTTGCTTCTGCCCCCGTGAGCTATGTTTCACACCCTTAATGCAGCTGCCCATAGTCAGGCCCTAAGGGTTGGTGGGTCGAAAGAAGAGCAAACCACATGGTTTGGGTCACCTCCCAGCCCTGAGGTAGGCCTAGCCCAGCCTCAGCCCTCTCCGTTGACTATTTCAGAGCTCCCACAAGCCTCCTTTTCTTTATAGTTCTTTAGTTCTTCTGCCTGTGCCTGCCTTCCCCTAAGGGCCAGTTTCTCTGCCTCTGCTGAAGGTACAGTGGGCTTCATGGCTGTGGCTCCCTAGAACAGGGGTTTTCAACCTTTTGGGGTCAGCGTACCCCTGGCGGCCGAATGCAGAGCTGGGGGGAGTGGGTGCACAGCCGAACATGGAGTGGTGGCCGCTGCTGTGTGCAGGCTTCCCCCGCGTCTGGCAGGCAGCTCAGGATGGTGCGTGGCATTGCTTTGTCCCTGCCCACCCCTGCGTACCCCCTAGGGCAGGGGTTGTCAACCGGTAGTACGCGAGAAGGCTCTAGGGGGTACATGCGGGCGAGGGAAATGGAGCACCACCATGCACCATCCTGTGCTACTGCGCAAGTGCCACCCACCCATCCAGATGCTGGACGTGAGGGAAGCTTGCACATGGCAGCCCCCCCCCCCACCTCCACATCTGGCCGCTGAGGGTGCACTGATCCAAAAAGGCTGAAAACCCCCGCTCTAGGGTTTTCTCAAGTACCCCAGTGGTACACATACCCCCAGTTAACAACCGCTGCCCTAGAAGATTGAACCACTTAGGTAGGGACCCAGTGGGGGTGAGTGCCTTATATTAAGCATCCCAAGTTTTAGTATTCCAGCCTCTTCTCCTTAGGAGCTAAGGCAGCACGTTGACATGCCTGGCAGCAGGCCCCCCCCTTCCAAACACTGCCCCATGGCTCCTAGTACTGAAGGGACTGAAATGCACCCGGCGGGCTGGTGTGCTGGTCTGAATCTCCCCACCAGGGGGCAGCAACTCTTCAGAGGACATCCCTGTTGGTGGGGGGAGAACGGGGCCTCTGAACAGCCCTACCCCACAAGGCAGCGTGTAGGCAGCCCACAGCTCGCAAACAGACATCAAAGAAAAAGACCTCGTTTCCAGTGGGGAAAGTGGTTGTTTTAATGTAGAAACAATATCCTGTCACATTGATGAAGTGTTTATCCAAATTGGGGCTGAAAAATAGGGGTGGGAGTTTCAGCCATGTGGGTGCATTAGAAGCACCAGTCCCATTAGGTACCCAAGGGACTCGTGGTCCCAAAACACTAGGCACTTTTGGAAATTGCGGCTCTGCTCCCTTGAAAAAGCAACTTCCAGCAGCTGCAGAAAGGCAGTGTGGGGTGATGGTTCCCTCCAGTGGTTGAGCTGGAGCATTGCAGTGGGCTTCAGTCCAAAAGGTTGATTGCTGAGGAGATAGCCCTGTGGAAAGATGTATGCTGCTGTGCTCATGCCCTCTCAAGGGGACCTGGCCTTTGGCCCAGTAGATACATGCCTGTTGCTGGTTTCTTCCTGAGCTGACTGATGTGTGGTGTTTGCCCAGCCCTAATGCTGAGCTTTGACCCTGGGTTGCCAGGAGGCCCGTGAGGCTGGTGCGATACTCAAAACCTCAGTGTAAGGATAGTGTTTTGGGCTGACCAAGGGTCTCCAGTAGCCCAGGCCAGGCCTCTTTCTCCTGGCAGCCATGTGCATATGAGGGAGTGAGAGGCCTGTAGTTCCTCAGAAATATATGCAAATATATACTGATACGGGGTGTAGGTGCTGCCAGCAGGAAGGGGTGGGGGGGTGGCATTCTGTCCGTCCACCTCTGCTCCTCTCTGCCCTCTCCAGCCCAGTCTCAGCCTTGCTTTAGCCCAGCCTGCAGATGACTCATGGTTTTCTGGTCCGGAGTCTCCAGGCAGGAGCCAGTACTTTGAGGCTCTGGCAGGGGAGGGGACAAGTATGTTGTGCCATGCCAAGCCCTCTCTGATAAAGGTCAGAGTAGCCAGCAGCCACAGGTCCACAGCACTGACCCTCACTAAGCCCATCTTGGGTAGTGTCAGCAGAGAGGCCACAGTAGCTAGGCCTCCTCTCTCAGCCCTAGAGGAAGGAGGCTCAGCCCCACTGATGGAAGGAAGCTTATCCTCTGCTCTAGCTGTAGCCTGAGAGGGGCCTCCTTTTAACAAAATAACCAAGGAAGGCTAATGAAGGCATGATGGTGCATTGAACAGACCACTGGGGACTCAGGAAACCTAGGCTTTATTTCAGACTCTGGCCCTGCCCTGCTGGAGTACCTGGGGCTGTCGCATCCCTGCTCGGGATCCTGCTTCTGGGAATGTACCATATGGGCTCACTGGTGTCTGCACAATGTCCCTCAGAAGCCTCTTGTGACAAAACCTGTTGCTGCCACAAGAGCCCTGTTCATAGTTTTATTTCTGGCCATTCTCCAAATAAAATCCTGTCTGGTTTTCACTTTATGGCCTTGGTGTCTTTGTCACAAGCAGGCTGGGTCAGGCCAGCCCTGCAGTCCCTACAGCTTCCTACCCCAAACAAGTTGTACCTCCAGGCTGGCATTGCCAAGTGCCCTGGGGTGACAGAAGAGACGGGCTGTTTGCCTCTGCTGGCAGTACAGGTTTGGGATCTAGCGCATTTCAGTTGGGAACAGCGCAGGGGGAATGGATTACTGATCTGCATCTGCCGTCCCACCTTGTCACCTCATCTCATGCGGCTGAAATTGGTAGCTGCAAAAGCCAGTTTCTCCCATGCAGTGAAGCAGAAATCTGAGGCCCACAAATTATAGGAGCTGCCTCCCTTTCACTCTTCTCCCCCACTCAGTTCTCCTGACTGCAAGGCAGCTGCCTCCAGGCTGTTCTGTCTGTAACACCCTTTGTAGCTCAGTCTGTTGCTCACTAAAGCCCTTGCCTGGTTCCTTGCTCTTCCCCATGGGAAGCTCGAGGGGAGCCTTTCCCAGAAACACTGCTTCCAAAGCAACATCCACAGGTAGGAGACAAGGGGTTCCCTCTTGCTGGGGCCCTTGCAACATGTTAGGAAGCTGCCCCAGGAAGTGTTCTGCAGTGCAAACAAGGGCTTCTGGACCCACCCAGCCAGGAGCTATGCTATGTATGAATCTATGTGGACGAGCCCAGTGCCTGGCTAGACAGCTCTCCATGAATGGGCTGTCCGTGAATGTAGCAGCCACTAAACTGAGCTGCCCTGTGCATACTTTAGAGCAGCAAACTTAGTTTATACGAGTTAGAGCATGGCCAGCCCTTGCATGGGTTCTGCTGTGGTAGAACAGCACCAGGGAGCCTCGCTGAACAAGAGCTGAGTGCTTTTGCAGCCCTGGTGTTTCTTGTCCAGCAGGGGACCATCACACCCAAAGCTGAGCAAGGTTCCCACAGGAGCTGCCTTCTTTATTACCAGGGGGACTAGAGCATCAGGGAAAGGATGGACAAGCCTGTCAGACCCCACCCAGCAAGTGGAGCGTGACACCAGTTAATGGACACCCCAGCCCCCTCTGCCTGGTCAGTGCTAGCAGTCTGAGGGGTAAAGACCCTGCTCCCCCAAGGGACTTCGTGTCTAACACTCATTGATTTCCCTGCATGGATTTTAAGGGGAGTTAGACACCTAAATGTCCTGCAAGCATCAGGACTAAAGCAAGGTAGCAGGAAATATACATCAAGAAAATAATGCTCTGATGACTGGGTTTGTCCGGATGATACATCCCTGTCACCCCAAACTACCAGCTGGGCTGTGGGAGCCATGTTGGTAAATCCATCAAGGGTAGGTTTCTCCCCACTGCTATCAAGGGAGCTCTGCTGGGGATGATTTTGCCTCCCATGCTCTGGGCCTGAATCTTCCTACTGCAGACGAGTAGAGGCCCGTTCCTTGTGATGAGCTGGATCTCACATCCTCTGCATACAGGGTCACAGCCCTGGGGCTAATACATGGCTATGAGGAGGGGAGATAGCTTCATAAGGATAATGTTTTTTATTCAGAGTCAGGACTTGACAAGTTACATGGACAAGACATACGGACACATAAATTACAGTCAGACACAGGTAGTTACTGAGCTCATCATCACCATGGAACAAAGTGGGAACAAAAAAAACCCAACCCAACCAACCAAATAAACTACTGGTCCATCATGGTGGCCTGAGGTCTCTGGGTTTGGGATAGACCGCTCTGAGGGGCTTGGGATGCTGGAAACAGGCAGCTAACCAGAGTTCACTCCATGATCCCAGGGCTGGCTTGTAACTGGCTACTTGGAGAGATGAAGGCTGGGTTGTCTATTTGGCTGGATGCCCTGTACAGAGGTGCCCCCCTGGCTGCACCTGCTGAGGGAACACTGCTAGGCTAGTCCTGGAACCTGTTAAGCAGCTCACAAGTTTTCTTCTCGATCAACTCATAGATCTTCTTCACTCGTTTGTCGTTGGCGGCCCGGACATAGCTGTTGGGGTCCAGCACAGCCATCCCATCATGAACCTCTCCCATGATGATGAGGGGCCCGTCCTCTGTGGTCATGTTGGGGCAAGGGCAACTCCAGTCCATGTCAGTCAAGGTCACTTCCAGGTACTTGATGTTGAAGAACTTGAGGCCCATCTTCTCATCCTTGAGGATATCCTCCAGGGCGAAGCGGGCAATGCCAGAGTCCTGGTCCTCAATGATTTCCATGAGGCGGCCTACGATGGCAAAGTCACTGCGGCAGAGGCTCAGCACCATCTTGCTCTTCAGGCGGCAGGCCTTGCACTGGAGGGTCTTTGGGAAGGGGCAGACATCCTCGCAGCTCTCCTTGCTCTCAAAGTTGTTGTCATTGCCCTCACAACCACCATAGACAAAGGAGTGGCACTGCTTCATGAGGTGGTTGTAGGCCCAACGAGCTTCCCAGTTTTTGCAGGGGCCCTGCACCATAGGGAGCAGACACATGTTGACGGCACTGCTCACGCAGGCTGAGCGACACTCCTCGTAGGTCTCAAAGTGGTTCTGGTTGGCACCACAGCCACCATAGCGGAAGGTGATGCAGGAGCCCTTCTTGGGGTCGAAGTGCCAGCGCACCTGCCGGGCCTCACAGTCCTGCTTGTCCGGCTCCTTCAGGCACTCAGTGTTGGGGAATTGCTGGGTGCTGGGGGTGCGAGGCTCCCCACTGGAGTGCTCCCTCTTGATGACAGAGAGGGGGAAGTCGGCACGGAGAAGCCCAGCGGAGTTCCTGGCTGTGCAGGTGTAGATGCCAGCATCCTCATATTGAGCATTGTAGATGACCAATTGGCCGATGTTGGTGACCACCACATTGCCATACATCTGGTCAGGCCGCATGATGAAGTTTTCCTGGTGGTCACTCTGCTTCTCCCAGGTGATGTCTGGCCGGGGCCGGCCGCTCACATCACAGTGGAAGCTCACAGTGCCACCCACGTAGACCGACTGGTGGAAGGGGTTGTTGTAGAGGGCAGGTGGGATGGGTACCTCGGCAGCAGCCCCGGGGGTGGGCCGGGCTGTGGTCTCTAGGGGCACTGGGCTGGTGTTGGGCCAAGTGAAGATGTACTTGCAAGGCACCACGGTGAGGCTGATGCCCCGGATGCAGGCCTCAGCATCCATGTAGCACTTGTTGTAGTAGGTGAGCCCATCTGAGGCGCAAGTGAAATTGGGCTCCTTCTCACAGCGATCCTTGCATTTGCAGATGGGCTGCCCATCCCAGATGTCGCAGTCTGAGCCCTGCTGGGTGCACACAAAGCTCTCACATGTGGCCTCCTGTGCCAGCTCCAGGGAGGAGAGGCTCCCGTCAGCATAGCGGGCTGCCACACAGCTCCGCAACCCGCAGACATTGGTGCAGCACTTCTCAAAGCCTTCACAGTCCTGGCGGGGGAGAGGGGAGAAGGGGGGAACAGCAGCAGCATTAGAACCATTGCATGCTGGCATCCCCCCTGCTGCCAGCACCCTGCTGTTACCCCAGTGCACTTCCACAGCCTACTTACGAGTCACTTCCACTTGCTTCTGGAATACAGCTACCTCTGAGGTGGAGCATGGCATCTTTTAACAGCACACAGAAACACTGAGGCATGGGTTAAGTCAGGAAAACCCCACAGCCATGAAACACTACAGAGGAGACTCAGGATACAGAATAATGGCCTCGGGGCAGGACACAGTAGCTAACGACCCTCCTTTCTTGCAGAGGCCCCCCCAGGAACATTGCTGCTAGGGATATGGCCCCGCCTCCCCCACACAGGTCGGCTGTCCAGCCAGGTGGACTCATGGTGCATTGGTAGAGTGCCACTTAGTGCCTAGCAGTTCTGCAGGAGCAGCAGGGCCTGGCCCTGCCCTGCTCAGCCCACAGGCTTTAGTGACAAATCCTGAGACATACTGAGAAGAGGTATGCAATTCAAAGCAAGAAGTCAGGAGGTCATGCTCTGTGAAGTGATTTAAGGGTGCTAATAATAGTCCTGATGAATAGAGCCGCTGCCCTTCCCACCCATGGCTCCAGACTCATGTTACAACAAGAATAGCTCCATGGCGTATGTCCCACCACTCTCTCGATTTATACATGGGGAGGGAAGCCAAGGCCTGCACAAGGAGCCAGTGGTAGAGTTGGGAATCACCCTAGATGCCTGGCTCTCAGTCACTTATGCCTTGTCTTCCTGGGGATTCATGTATCACTGGTATACAGCTGCTTTTCCCTGCTCAAGGAGCCAACAGCCTCTGTCACAGGACCAGGCTGCAGGAGTGTGAGACCTGCAGGTTCAGTGAAGCCAGGTTCCATGGGGATGTGGGGTCTGTACCAGACAAACCTGAGTTGCTCCAGATAGGGACAGCATGGGGGAGAAATGGAGATGCCCCTTTGCATGCTCTTGAGCTAGGTGGGACTGGGGGAGCTCTGGAATGGACACAGAAACACTTTGATATGAAACACTTCTCTGCAGTCACTATTGCTCAGGAAGCTGGAGAGGCACAGCTATGTCTTGGAAGGGACTGTGATGCTGGCAGTCTGGCAGGGAGTGCGACTCCCCCTTGTTTCAAAGACAAGCAGGGGCCAGAGCTGGCTCTCAGCATCTCAGCATCCTCCCAGGTATTGCAGCTGGTTCTTGAGGCAACCCCATGCTGGGGTGGGCTGTGATGCACCCCCCCCCGTGAGGGGAAGGCAGCTTGTTCCCCTCCCTGCTGATGTGCAAGAGAGGCTGGACATGAAGGATGCAGGGATGGGGCTTTGATCTGACATGGAGCTGGAAGATCCATTATCGCAGAGGCAGCAAGGGAAGGGACTGGGGGGCCTGGGCTCTCTTCTATGTCTGCCTACTGACACCATTCTTTAGACGCAGTACAGCAGCATGTGGAAACCCCAAGCTAGAGTGAGGCTCCATTGTGCAAGGCTACAAGGAGAGGGTCTCTGCCCATGACTGCCTGAATGCTACACAGACAAAGGTGGGAGGGGCACATGGCTGGCCGCCAGTCACAGATCCTGGCTGAGCTCCTGACGTCCAAACTAGTGCTCTGTCTAGTGCAGCCCACTGTTTCTCCCCTGCAGACCTAAGCAAAGGGCTGTGTGCTGGGAATCAAGGTGCACTGCACTTCTGCTTGCCATCACACAATGCAAACCCAATGCCAGTTCAAGGCCAGAAGTGACTGTCATTTCCTCCCCGTTGAATGCATTTCCACATTCCCCGGGTGCCGGTGAGGCTGTGCAGGGAACCTCTGGGACCAGGCCCCTGGGTCCAGCCTCCTGCCTCCATCCCATGCACTTAGCCCTTCTGCTCCAGTCTGATCAGTGAGTGGCTGCAGCTGGGCTATTCAACATCTCTGTCACAAGCCCACATTTGCTAGCCTCACTATAAGGCCTACGTTAATATAGCTTACACCCAGGCACACGTGTTTCAATCTGACACTTAGCATCCCTCTCAATGCTGCTCGATGGTGCTTGAAAGTGAAACTGGCCGGCAGCCCCAATGGCCGAGGGGAGTGCAATCCCCTCCTGGAGTCAGCGCACAGAGCAGCTCCCTGGGGAGACAGGGGTGCACATGGGAACAGAGCAGCACCTGGCCCCACCCCACAAGCCCCTGCACATGCAGCTGCCCATCATTGTGCCCAGGAGCAAGTGGGCACAGGCATGTGGAAGTCCTGCAGGATCAGGCCTGGCACCTCAACTCTAGGCAGGACATCCCTGGAAAGCCTGGGTGCCAGGACTGCAGGTGGGGGAGTTGCCCAAGCCTTCAGGCCAATCCCCACCCATCCTCACCCCCCCTCCCACAGGGCTTGTGCTAATGCAGTTAGGGTAGGATAGTAAGCAATGAAGAATAAACCACCCCCCACTTGGCCTTTCCTCAGAGGGTGGCTGCAGTGCCCCCTCTGCCAGGGCCTCTCTATGGGGCCATGCATGCACTGGGCCCAGCCCCTCTGGGGAGGAGGGCAGGGCTCACCTGGTCCGTGTGGCACTCCCGCTCGCAGGTGCTCTGGGCATCCACCCACAGGTTGGGGTTCAGCTGGTTGGGGCATACCCCCAGGTGGCTCATTCTGATTGGCTGGAGGCTGGCCCCCTCTGCCAGGACAGACAGGAGAGCCAAGACAAGTACCGCCAGCATGGGGTCTGGCTGGCTTGCCCCCGCGAGCTTCCGCTTCCCTTTTTTCCTCTTCAGCCCCCGGCCTCCGAAACTCCAGAGAGGCATCAGTCTGCCCCTGGCTCTCCGGCCAGGAGGGCTCTCCGCTGGGTGTGCTCCTTCTCACGCAGAAACACTCACATTCACTGAGCCAGGCGATCACGTGCAGTGCTCTCGAGTTCCCGCTCTAGTGTGCCCAGTGCCCAGTGGGCATGATACCCACAGGCACGACGCCCGATGCCGGGCTCCGTTTCATGCCTTGCTCTCTGCTGGCAGCAGCCTACAGCGCTCTGTGCTGATCATCTCCCAGCGCAGGAGTCCAAAGAGATCCCAGCATGAGCAATTCCAGGTGGGGGCCTTACATCCCCCCCTTTCTGGGAACGAATCAGTCCATGTGGTTCCCAAGTGCCATCCAACTTCATCCAGTTGGCTTGCCAAGGAGCCTTCTAAATCCCAGGCTCAGGGGGGCTTTGGCTTTGCAGCCACGGCTTTCAACGCACCCTTAACCCTCTTGGGCTTGTTAAGCTGCAGAGTATCAACAGACAACACAAATAAACTGACTCAGAGCCCGCAGAGCCGGAAAGCTGGTCTGGGGTGTGCATGTGTGTCTGTCTGTGGGGTGGGGGTGGGAGAGGAGGGAGGGAAGCTTGTAATCTGAATCCCCTCCCTCGCACTGATGTGTCTGGGTGTTTGGAATGGAAAAGCCACTGACCTCAGACTCTAACCCCGTCTGAGTTGATCGACTGGGCAAACAGTGGGAGAAGATCAAAGGCAGAATGTGTGGAGCCTCCAAAGAGAGAGAGAAAGGAGGGAAAAAGCCCAGCCCAGGGAGCGAATTCTTTTGGGATGAGAAAATGGCCAGAGCACTCTGTCCATCTGGAGGGGATTGACCAAGCCAGGCCCTGTAGCACTTAGGCAAGCCCAGACCTTGTACCAGGTGCCTGCAGTGTTGCTGCTCTGTTGTCCCTGCTTCCTTTGCACTGGCCAGCTCGTTGTTGGAAATGGCTCCAGGGAGGGTTCAGGGTCAGGGAGCACCTGGGAGCGCCTGCAGCAATAGGCACAGGGTGAGAACTTGGCCAGGGCAGAGCTCAAGTGTGAGGACGTGACCTCCAGTGTCGTGGGGCACTGGGTGTCAGACCAGTGCTCTTGCTCCCTCCTTCCCTGCTGAGCACAGAGCCCAGGATCCACTGGTGCCACCAGATCCTGAGAGAAGACACTGTAGTCAGGGGCAGAAGGGCAGGGAAAGCAGCTCTGCACTTTGGTACTGACAGGGCCAGGGAAGCAAAACATCGCAAAATAACCCACTTCCAGAGGTTGCAGCTTGTTGTTATGCTGCTAATCCCAAGCCCACTCACAGAGATCCCAGGGGGCTCTAGTGAAAGCTGCAGTCCTGGGAGCCAGTGGAGACAGACCCCTGCCATGTTACTGGGGCATAACTCTTTGCAAGCTTGAGCTCTGGGAACAAAAGGCTGGCTCCTATTAGTGTCCACATGGCACACACATGGGCCCAGCCTCCCCAGCAACACTTGGAAAAGGCAGTGTTGCTTTGCAGGCCATGCACACCCGGGACGTCATTGGGACTGGGGTTCCCCCAGGCACCCTTGCGTTGTGTGTCCACCCACCAGTCTCCCTGCCCAGGGCTCAGAGAGGCCAGTGGTTTTAGCCCCACTGGAATAAGGAAGCTGGCGGGAGGGGGAAGGGCGTGAGCAAGGAGAGTCCTCCCCAGCCTGGAGTGCTGCATTCCAGAGCACGGCCACAAGCTCAGACGAAAGGGGAAACCACCCATCCCGAGGGCCTCATCCTCCTGACTCACATTGTTTTAGTTGGGGGCTAAGCATAAGGGCTATAGTGCTGAGCTCCACAGCGGATGTGGGGACATCTAATGGAGAAGCCCAGGCTGGTGAGACACACGGCATACAATGCTCCTGTCTCAGTGACTCCAGATGAGGAGATGGCCTGGAAAAGCCTCTCACTCTTGTCTGGAGATTTTTTTTTTAAATATATTTCATGTTCCAGGTCAAATTAGCCAAACCAGTTCCAAATTATATCAATTGAGCAGAATGCAATCATTCCAAAAACCATATTGATTAAGCAGGCAGAACTTAATTGTCCTAAACACCATGTATGGTGCTACAACCGGCGAGCATCCACTACCCCAGACCTATCATCCTGGGACTTCAGATGTTCCTAAATCCATTTGCAGGCATCCTATGTGCAGGCCCAAGCCCAAAGGTCTTGGGGTTCAGATGGCTCCAGATACTACAGGCAAGCATCCTCTATCCCAGACTCTTTAGTCCAGGACTTCAGATACTCTCTACACTCAATCTTAGACCACAAAAGGCCAAGAAGATCTAATGCAACTGTACTGACTCCAATGGTTTCTTGGCTGGACAAGTGGGCTGGAGGGGCTGGCTGAGGGATAGACTCAGAAGGCAGGGTGAGCCCCACATGGAAGAAAGTCTTAACTCAGGAGGTCAGTGTGTGCAGCGAGTGTCTATCTTGCCAGGCTGAGGTATGATTGCAGGCCTGAGTTAGGTTTAAGCTGGCTGGGTGGTATATGTGGTGCAGAGCAGACTCAGTAGCATGGAGCTCAGTGTGGGTTGAAGCCTGCAGGCCAACTGCTATCACTGCTCACCATATGGGCTACAATCAATCACCTCTGCTCTGGTGGAGTCTTTCCTGACCCCAGATCCAAAGTGCAGCTTGCCCTCACATGCAGAAGCAGGACCCATCTAAGCCAGGTACTGGAGGGCACTCTCAGTACCTCTAAGAGAAGCAGTGAGGCTCACCCCAACCCACCCAACCTCTATGACCTGTGGCCAATTTCTGATGCTTCAAAGGAAAGTGAGAAAACCCCAGAGACCAAGTGGTGTATTCAAGCAGGGGCAAACCCCTCCTGGTCCCTACAGGCAGCCAGCAGAAGCCCTGAAATAGGGACCTTGAACACTCACCAGCTGACTACAGTCCCCCAGAGCACATCTAAATGCTGGCTCTATCACAGGTGTTTTATCCAGTTCCCTACTGTATGGAGCCTCTGGAAACAAGGCAGCACTAAGATCTCCAGTTTACAGACAGGGAATGGAGGCAGAGAAAGCAAGAGAGAGAGAGAGAGAGAGAGAGAGGATTCAGTGACTTAGACAAATTGGAGGATTGGTCCTAAAGGAATCTCATGTCATGAAGTTCAACAGTGACAAATGCAAAGTCCTGCACTTAAGACAGAACAATCCCATGCACCGATATAGCCTGGGGGCTGACTGGGTGGGCAGCAGCTCTGCAGAAAAGGACCTGGGGTTACAGTGGACAATAAGCTGAATCTGAGCCAGCACTGTGCCCTTGTTGCCAAGAAGGTTAACATACTGGACTGCATTGGTAGGTGTGTTGCCAGTAGGTCAGGAAAGTGATTATTCCCCTCTATTCAGCACTGGAGAGGCCACATCTGGAGTACTGTGTCCAGTCTTAGGCCCCCCACTACAGAAAGGATGTGGACAAATTGGAGAAAGTCCAGCAGAGGACAACAAAAATGATGAGGGAGCTTGGGGGGCATAATTTATGAGGAGAGGCTGAAAGAACTGGGATTATTTAGTCTAGATAAGAGAAGACTGAGGGGGGATTTAATAGCAGCCTTCAACTAGCTGAAGCGGGGTTTGAAAGAGGATGAAGCTAGACTGGTCAGTGGTGGCAGATGACAGAACAAGGAGCAATGGGCTCAAGATGCAGCAAAGGAAGTTTAGGTTAGATATTAGGGAGGGTAGGAGGGTAGTAAAACACTAGAACAGGTTACCCAGAGAGGTGGTGGAAGCTGCATCCTTGGAGGTTTTCAGAAACATGAAGGTTTTCAAAACCTGGCTAGACAAAGCTTTGGCTGGGATGATCTAGTTGGAAATGGTCCTGCTTTGAGCAGGAGGTTGGAGTCAAGGACTTTTGACATTGATGACGCGTAGGGGGTGGACGCGGGTGCACGTGCACCCCCTGAGACTGGCAGATGCTGTTCGCCACCCCACCTCCACCCCACCGCTGATGTCGCTGCAGCCACCTGCACGCAATCCCGGCTCGGGCTGCCTTCACTGCTGATATCAGCGGGGCCACCTGCCGGCAGTCCCCGCTCACCACCGCCTGCAGGCGGTCGCCGTGCCCCCCAGCCTCAGGAGGTATGAGACGCTCATGACTCCTGAGGTCCCTTCCAACCCTAACTTTCTACAGTTCTATGATTTACAGATGAGGAAACATGGACAGGCAGGGACATGGCCAAGGTCCCATAACAAAAGCACTAGCAGAGACAAGAACAGACACGCCCCCCGCCCCCGCATTCTCTGCATTTACCCCAAGACTCCCCTTCCTTAAGTGAGCCAACTCTGCCCCACTTCCACACCACCCATTCAGTTCTT